ACTTCCAGGAAGCAGGAAGACACGGTCACGTGTTCTTACATGTGCTGTGACTCTTCCTGTGTGGCAAAGTCATTTAATTAAGATCAGTTCCCCTTACCCACAGATTCCGTATTTGGGCATTCAGCACCTCACTGAAATCTGTAATCAGTGTTGGTCATTTATGAGCATGCTCAGAGCTCTGCTAACTTGTGTCCTTTTGTGGCATGTCCAGCACCACACTTTTCGAGCCTTTTGCTGGTAGTTTTGCTGTTTCTAGAGGCCCTCTTCCCACGCCCAGGATGGCTGTGATGTGCCTTGTAGATGAGCTTGGCTCAGATGCATTACAGCTGCTGACTGTGAGCTCCTTGTTCAGGAATCAACGGCAGATACTTAGTGAGGCGCCTTAGTTCTCTCGTTCTGCCAGCCCAGAAACATCACAAGGGAGGACTTTAACAAACAGACATTTCATCTCTCACAGTTTAGGAGGCCAGAAGTCTGAAGTCAGGGCATTGGCCGTAAAGAAAGGTCCTTGTTACCTTTCAGCACCTGTGGGATCAGCATTCCTTGGTGATCTCTGTGTGTCTTGGCATCAGTCTTCCCTGGACCCAGTGCAGGGACGTTGGGTCCAAAGGACTCCCTCCCTCCGGAAGCTTTTTCTAGGTGGCCAAAGCTCTTCTCTCTCCTTTTATCTTTGTAAGATGAAAAACGCTGCAGGCCACACCCCTGAGGAAGCTTCCTTTCGGCTGATTGGCTGCTCACAGTAGATTTCCTAGTGATGTGATTACATTATGCTACATGTCACCATGAGGGAACGTCAGCCCAGCTGACACGTATTTTGGGGGGAACACAGTTCTATCCAGGACAGCGCCTATAAAAAGACACTGCAGACTAGGTTGCATGTTGGTCACTTGACAAGGGCTGTGTGACCAGAGGCTCCCAGGAGCCTGTCCCAGATTTCCTTGGAGCAGTGGCTCTGTGTGGACTGGACCCCCGTGAGTTTTGGGAATCGCTGTCTGTTCTTTGGCTGCAGTTGGCTGAGCTGAAGATGGTCCCAGGGCAGTTCCTCCCGAGTCACCAGCGTACGCTACGCTTTGAGCTGTGATAACTAGCCACCCAGTTAGCAGCGTGGTGGAACCCATGTTCCGGGAACGTCTCGGCGGCAGTCCATGCCCCCTGACTGTGGTGGGCTGATGGGTGGCCTGAATGTGCGAGCTGCTTGGGACCCTGGTGTGTGTGGCCAGGGTGGGCTTGTGAGGTCCCAGGTGTGTTCATAGCCCTGGGGTCACTCTTGTGTCCCCTGCAGCCCTGGAGGGGTGGTGTTCACAGACCAGTTGGGTGGGGATGGTACTTCCCAGTGGCCTAAGGCTTCTTCTGTTTCTGGTCTCCCTGTGGGGCCTCTGGGATCTGAGCCCCTCTGCTCAGAGACCAGACCCTTCCTATCATTTTTTAGCCCCACTCTGCCCTCTCCTGGCGTGAAGTGGCATTGCAGGCTCCTGGTGACACCTCACCCCAACACTCCCCGGGGTGAAGGTCTGTCCACACTTGCCCTCTCTCTGTGTCTACAGGCACCAAATACCGAGTGTTATGTTTAATTAAGACGGCAAACACTTTTGGCTAAAAGTTGATCACTGTAAACCATGAGGAGTCTAAACCAGTATTGCAGAGATACTGTGAGTTAATGCTTCCGACACATAAGTAAAGTGATTCATGGGGATTTTTACATAAAGTGATGTTGATGCTAGACTAGTCTCTTAAGGAACCTTGGTGGCGCTGCTCCACACTAGAAAGATGAGACTGTCTGCTCCGTAAAGATACTTTGTTATTAAGTGTTGAGTGGGTTCCAACTCATAGGGACCCTGTGTAGGTTTCTGAGGAGCAGTTGAGGGTTTGAACCACCGGCCTCGTGGTTAGCAGTCCAGTGCTTGTCCCACAGTGCCACGCCATATAGCTCTGCATCCTAGGAAACCCTATGGAGCGGTTCTACTCAGACTGTAGGGTCCTTGTGAGTCGGAATCGAGTGGCTAGATGGCAGAGGTCTGGGCATGATGTGTGTGTTTGAAGTACCGTGAGAATGACCAAAATGGGACGCAGAGACCCAGAATGCAGGCTGTCGGGAAAATGGTGCTGGTGGATTTGCTCGCCTGCCGGATGGCTACCAGCCTTCAATCTGCAAAAAACTCAGTATCTGCAAAGTGGAATACCTGGTTTGCCAGGCTGCAAAGAAAAAACCAAAACGGAGTCCCACCCAATCCTGCCACCTGGTGGTGATTTCATGTAAACACAGGGTGTTGCTGGCGGAGATTTTCTGGGCTCTGGTCTTGGCTCTGGCAGTACCAGCAAGGGATTCGTAGTGTTCACGCATCACCCACTGTCCAGGGGTGGAGGTGAGGCTGTGATAGCAGACCCCAGGAAGCTGTCAGTGTTGACCCTGCTTACTGGACTCAGAGTAGGGACTGAGGCTGCCCCCACACCTGTGGTCTTTTGGAGTGGGGCGAACAGGCAGGCTGACAGGTTAAACACATAGCAGTTTGGGGCTGGGTGGGGGTGCCTACCTGGCCCCTGGGCCCACTCTGCTGCTCACTGGCCTGTAAGCAAGTGTTTGCTTCTCTGTGCCCCAGTTTTCTAGGAGTGCATGAGTCCAGCTCTAGCACACCTCCCTCTAAGAGGTTGTTGGCAGGGAGATGAGCTGTCTCACCTGGGGCTTTGAGGATGAGTGAGAGTTTTCTGGGCTGAGTGGTCAGGAGGGATGTGTACAGAGACCTGTTTAAATCAAACCTGCTGGCGTTGGGTCAGTCCCGGCTCCAAGTGACCCTGTGGGAAAGTAGTCTCGGCCTGCAGAGACCCTGTGGTTTTCAAGGCTGAAATCTTTACAGAAGTGGATTGCTTCATCTATCACACACAGAGCATCTGGTGGGCTTGAACTTCCAACTTTGCAGTTAGCAGCTGAGTGCTCTGCCACTGTATCACTAGGGTTGCTCTAACGGCCTGTTTGTTGTTGAGCCGTCTCTAGTCAGTTCCGACTCATTGCAGCCCTGTGTAGGGTTTCTGAGGAGCTGCTGGTGACTGGTGGGTTTGAACCACTGGCCATTTGGTTAGCAGTCCAGTGCTTATCCTACAGCGCCTCACCAGGACTCCTATGGCCTGTTAGGAGCTGCACAATGGTAGCAGTATCACCACACCCCGTGTAACTTCAGAGGGGAGAAGGAGACTGCATCAGCCGCAGATTGACTTCCATATGGTACTGTTCGTCCACCTCGTGACCAACACTTGACACCAGCTGTGCCTCCCACGGCACCCTCTACTCCTCTTGGGGCCCATAACTCATGGCAGTGGCCACAAAGAGCTCGCAGACCAGACTCGTGACTGTGGGCTTTACTAGGAAGTGACAAGGTCAGGGGCGATTCAGGATATAGGTTCTCATGCAGGGCGGCCGCTGAGCTGTGCCCAGTCAGACCTGGTTCTCTGCCCTCAGTCCTTGGAACGTGCTTCCAGCTCTTGGCCCTCAGCCCTAGTTCCTGGCTCTCAGTTCTCACTGGGCCTGGCTTCTGCTTGGGCAAGCATTAATGAAGCTCTCTAGCTCCTCTGGTAAATGCTTGGAGGCATCTCTCTCCAGCAGGAAACCTCCTACCCGAAAGGGCTCAGCAGTCTCACCCAGTGTATCAGCATTCCCGTTGTGGCCGCCCCCAGTGCCGTTCTGCGCTGGTCTCTTGGTTCTGCTGCCCCCGACGGACTCTGCCATGCTGCCTTCCAGTGTCTCAGTTCCTCTGTCGGCCTCCTGGGTCTGGGAGGTTCTCATCACAGGGGCCCCAGATCCACGAGGTGTGCTTCGCTCCTGCTTCTTCCTGATGTAGTGAGGTTTCCCACCCCCTGGGATTGCTTTTCTTTTAAGTCTAGCAGGATGACAAAGCGAATCAGTGCCCTTGTTAGAGTTCCATACACCTTACCTGCATGGCCCCCCCCCACGTGTTCCATGCACCTTACCTGCATGCCCCCCCCACGTGTTCCATACACCTTACCTGCATGGCCCTACCCCCACGTGTTCCATGCACCTGCCTGCATGGCCATACCCC